CTGCTTTTCAAGCCACAGGTACAGATGGCTTGCCAAACCAGATATTTCTTTGCGAACTTTGACAGTTTCATGTGCTTGAAAACATCTGCTACCTTTCCCCTTCCTTTTGCCGTATAAAACTCCTGTCCCGGAAGCTGCTTGTAGTCGGCTTTGACGTAGGTTTCGTCGTCCATTACCACGCAGTCAAACTTCGTCAGCATCGTCGTGTACAGCCTCCGAGATCGCGCTTTGGCCGTCGTATTTTGTTTATCATCGCGATTTGGAGTCACTACCTTCTTGTAAGTCGATAGTCCGGCTCGTTTTTTGGCTCGATGCACGGTTGTAGACGATACACCCAGCTTATTTGCGGCATCTCGGAGAGAGAGGTTAAGGTTTCGCTTGAAACTACCGGCAACTCTCTTTGTCGTCTCAGCGGCTTCCGGTTTTCGATTTCCCCCCGATCCAGACTTCCTGGCTGTCGACAAACGTTCCCCAAACACTTTAATTACATTTGTAACGGTTGATTTGGCAACTTTTAGCGATTTTGCCAACTTTGCGTGCGAGTAGCTCGGATTTTCACGATGCGCGAGCAAAATTTTGATACGCTGCTCTTCTTGCTTGGACGGCATTTTGACAACTGAAGAGTGAATTCCAAAATCAAAATAGGAGCAACATTCTACACACACACACCTTCAAAATGAGGGGTGTTCAGGTTTTTTAAATGCAAAATTGAAAGAAATACGTCAAGTTGATATTGACCAAATTTTGACCGTATCACCCTTTACGTTGAGATTTTTTCTAATGATCCCCACCGCCGGTCGGTATCCGTTTGTCGTTTACAACTTCTTGATTGAATCCTGGTATCACCAGTTTTATGTATGACATTATCTCACTAGTTTCATTTGTGAGTAAACAAAGTATTGACCCGAGTAGTAAACCTTAGAAACGATTGACAAAATGTCAACACTCAACAGTGATGCCGTTTTATAGTATACTAGCTGAGTGCCCAACCTTGCTCGGGATTCAATATAAGCTTGAGTGTATGCGCCGAATAAAAAAAATGCTATATTGTACGTAGACACCCCCCACCCCAATCTAAGGGTCTACAACCTATGAACATCACATGCCAAATTTGGTTCCATTTACTTGATTAGTTCTCGAGTTATGCAGAAATTTCTGATTCGTTTGTATGGGAGCCCCTCCCCCCTTACATAGGGGGAGGGCTATCAAACCATCATAAGAACCTTTTCCGGCCCCAAAAACCCTTTCATACCAATTTTCACGCCGATCGGTTCAGTAGTTTCCGAGTCTAAAGGGTCAGACAGACAGACAGAAATTCATTTTTATATATAGATTGTTTGTGTCCTACTTGTCAAAGTGTGCCTTAATGTGCTGAACAGTGTGTCATGCTGTGTTTCAGCACAGTGTGCAGAGTTGATTGCCCCTTGTGCATGGCAGTTTGTTTTGAATCCGCCCCTCTCTTAAATTCTAGATAGAGCTGGAACAAAGAAAGGAAGCTCATCTCTGCTTCGAAAAGTGAAAAAAAATCAATGTACTTTAGAAAGCCACCTAGCGGTGGAAAGTACGCTTTTTACACGGAAAATATAGTTAGCATTATATCAGTTTTAATGACAGGTATAAGTACAGCTTGACTGCTTTAAACCGGTTTTATAACAAACGAAATATTTTTCTACCAATACAATTCATTCGTATAGTAACGTATACGGCAAAGTAGAAAACCGAAAATTCCAACACGGGCCAATTAACCACTTCATTCGAGCAGTTAAAATGACGTTTACTACCACTTGAACTTCGTAATCTATATATATAAAAATGAATTTCTGTCTGTCTGTCTGTCTGTCTGTTAGTTTGAGTGGTGGTAGTAAGAAGATATTTCTAATTAATAATAATAAATTGAAAAGTTAGCAAACGTCTTATAAAATGCTCTACAACCTAGTCTACAACATTAACTGAAGGGTGATTTTTCACAGCGATGAATGTGCTTATATGTATATTAAAAAATATCAAACGTCGTTTCGACGAAACTCTCAGTACTCCCACGTAAACTAACACCACTTCTCTGATGGTGGTGTTGGTTTGCGTGGAAGGAAGTGGTGAGCGTTTCACCGAATTTTTGTTTGAGTTTTAGTTTAAAAAAGCGGTTTCGTCATTTTGATGGAAAAGCATTCTTTGTATTCGAATCAATTTGAAATTGCTTTCAGTGTAGAACTGGTTTGACTTTTAAATTTTAAATTGTTTCCTGTGTAAAAAACGGTCGCAAAACGGTAAGTAATCCGGTAATCCGTTTGCGCAGGCAACATATTCATATTGCTTAACTGTTTTCTAGCAACATTGAAAATCGTGAAAAATGGCTGAAAATGGCAGAGCAGAAATCAGCGAATTGAATTTGTTTGTCTGCTCGGATCATTTCGCCGACGTTGATTTTGTCAATGCATCGATGAAATCACATGGGTAAGTGAAAATAATATAAAGTGAAAATACCACGGATTAATCAAAAGAAATTGCACGCACTATCGGAAACAACTTGATATGCCATAGAGATTGCTGACGTTTATCGTACACACACTAGGTAGCGTATACGTATACGAGAAATGTTTTCATCGGGAAAAAATCTTTCAGAGCTAACAATTTTCCCGATGAAAACAAATTACTAACACAATCATACTTTAGCAATCTCTATGTTGATTTATTAGTGATGACAGGTGGAATCTGGTATAATTTATTTTATTCAAGATAAATACAGATCGTTCCGTTTATTCCGATCAAAGTGAAATCAATGTATGCTGTGCAGTGTGTGTGTTGAACACGCAGTTGTTAAACAATAAACATTAAAAGTTTATCTCATCCTCAACTTTATAAGGCGGCGTCCATTTATAACATAACGCTAAAAATAAAAATATTCTACCTCCTCCTCCTAGAAAATTAACATCGCTCATAAGATTCTTCAGTGGTCTTAAATATTGCACCTAACCCGCATAAACGCATTAATTTACAGGCAACCTATTCGCGATATATTCCACGTAAAGTTGACCGACAATACAAAACCATCCATGGACCTTACTGACTACCATAACCATTACCATTAAAATTCTCAAACCATAAGTAAAAAGGTTCTAATATAGTTTTCTTTCAGAAAATGTATGGAGAAAACAAGAATTTAGAATGGTAATGGTTCTTAACAACCCATTATTTTTAAGGTTCACTTCCAAAAAACCATAATACATAAGGTTAAAACTTTATCACACAAACGTTCATGTAAAGTTCAATAACCATTTCAGTTAAAGTTTAGCAGGGATTATAAACAACTTGTAACCATTTTCGGTAAGGTCAAGATATGGTTCGCGTTTATGCGGGAAGTAAACCTCAGAATTTCAAAAGCACCGATCTCAACTTCCGAAAAACATACATTGACGAGATTGTAACTCTATGTTTGCTAGGAATTGGTTAACTGAAAGTGTTGAAAGTTGTATGAGCGGAAGAGCTGACAAAATCGGGTCATTAATGTAATTTTTCACAAATTCTTGAGTGCAGAAAACTAACAAATAAATTTACATTCAACATATTTCATAATTCGATTTTGTCAGCTCTCGTCGTCTTCACAATTTTTTTATATCGTTGCAAAAACATTCACTGTTGTGATTGTTATTATATGTGGTAGATATGTAATACATTACATCTTTTAGAGCCTCCCTTAGATGTATTCATACTATTTCTGCTACATAGTTTGATAAAGGAGCTTATGGAGAATAGCAACCGCATCAAGTAATATGTTTGCCCCTGAATTATTAACGAAAAACGAAGTCGATGAAGAGAATAAATCAAAATCACTTGCACCCCGTTGCCTCTAATCCCCTCATTTGAGAGCAAGCGTAAACTTCTAGTTAGGGCATGATAGCCAAAGAAGAAAAAGAAGAAGATTACATTTTTTTTCTTTAAACCATTTGGCACAAATAGCATGAAGCATGTTTGCAAAACTGTGGTTACTCAATTAGAATATCGAATGAATCCTGAAATTAATAGATAAATGCAGACAGGACCTCTTGAAATGTTAATCTAGATATGGCCAGCATATGCATAAATACAAAAACTTGTTTGTACAAATTTTTGTGAGCTTTAAAACAACAGTTCGTATTAAGCAGGATGAACTGTTACGCTAACGGTCATTTCAAAACGTAGTCAGAAATTATACCGTTTTATGTCAGATTAAGCTGGCATAAACGAACACGCTAAATATAAAATGATTGAAGGAAGAAAAAATCGATGTTGATTTTTCAATCGTCAGAGTAAACACTTTCTGAATCAGCGTTTGTATGAAGTTGCTATTCCTTTCTTTGGCTGGAATTAGGGCGTAGCCTTTGTAAACAATGACTTCTCTCGTTGATTTCTAGGAATTCGAGGCACGCCTACACAAACCAACATATCCATCGGTAAGGGGAAGTCTTCCCCTACTCGATGGTGATGTCGATTTGCCAGTGAGAGCCATGGCTTTCGAGAAATCATCGAGAGAATTCATTGTTTACAAAAGCTGTTACGCCATAATTCCAGCTTCATCTAGAATTAGTAAGTTACTAAGCTACATTGAATTTGCAAAAAAAAAACAATCTGAATTGAAAAAAGCAACGACCTTAAATGATTCACTACCACATCTCGCCCTCTTATTATCTCAGAAACAATCTGCTCATTGAATGTATAAGCGGACGATTCCAAAAACTGTCATACCAACAACAACAAACCAACATCACGAATCATCGATCAAGCCAATTTTTGACTCGCTTACAGCATACAATTATCATTGCACTGCAGCAGCAGCAGCAGCAGCTCTTTCTCGTTGGCTATGGCGCGTCTCCATCGATCACGATGGATGCAGCGAGCGAGCGAGCGAGCGAGTGCTTGTAAGTACGACGTACTATGACTTTCAATGAGCTGTTGTTGCTGCAGCTTGCTAAAACCGCTTGCACTACCCATGTCGTAGCCGTGGTACTACCTGGTACTACTGCGGGCGTTCTACTAGGCCTCCACTCAGTCAGTGTTCATCTTTTGAGCAACGAGGACCGTTCTGTTATTTCTTGGTGTGCCCCTCTGGCTGCCAGGAGTTTTAGTCGGGTTTATTTGGATAAGACAAACATCGCGAGAATTAAGTGTTTCCTTCCAAAAGATACATCATATGTAATTCGATTCGTGCTGCTCTGAGTCGAGAACGAATATTGTGTGTTCATCCTTTCAATGTGAGTGTCAATTCGCCGTAATCAGATGTGATAAGTTAGGAAAAAAGGATTCAAACAATTATGTAAAGAAGTGCTTTGAAGATGAATCCTTCTTGTGTACCAGCTGAAAATTGTTTCAAATTAACTGCCGTAGAAAAAAATTAAAAAAAAAAGTGTGACAGAAGAATGCATGTTAAGTGATGATTGTCGATGAACACATATTTTCTTCTGCGCAGCATTTTCGCAATTCCTCAAAACCAGACTTTGACATAACACCAATTCATAAGTAATAAATGCGAGTGATAACCTGGTTAAGTGGTACTGAAAACTGCGAAACAAGATTCCAAGTTCAGACAATTACATTGATGGGCTGCTGCAAGTATGGATTGAAGAACATTCGTAACCATCTAAATGAATAATGAATTCTAAATGAAGTTAATTACAGTACATCTGGATAAATATTGTTCGACTCATATCAATCGCAACAATCAGGTTAACTAATTAAATAATATTGTGTTAACAAATAAGTTGCTAAACAGGTTTGATATTTACATGAAAATTTATTGAATTTTTTATTTCCTTCGTCAGTATACGTTCAACGAAAATCGTTAAATCAATCTGTAGTAAGCCAAAACTCTTGGTATGTGAGAGCAGCTTCACGCCAAATGACGAATCGATCTGGTTCAAAACTCAACCAATTTGATTTTTTTTCTTGAAGATGGCATATTTGACATTTTTTAATAAATCGTAGCATGGAAACGTCACTTCAAGTTGAAATGACGCCTGATACCAAGGTGTAGCATAATTTTATTTTTTTCGAATATACACGGTCCAAGCAACAATAACAATAATTTCTATTACAGTTTATTTAACCTTTGTATAACTGGTGTTGGTTGTAAAGGAGTTTACTCAACATAATTCCATGAATATGGGTTACTTGGGATAAACAATATTTCAGAAGTTTGCATTTTTTACAAACCTTTTTTTTTTATTAATTCCAAAATATGGCAAATGGAAATTTTTTATTATTTAAATTCGTAACATTTTCTTTGAAAAAATTGCTGAAAAAATTGACCGTGATATTTTTTCTAGAAAGAATTTAGTTTTCTCAACAACTTTGCCTAAAATGTAATTTCGATTTGAAGTGACGTTTTCATACTATGATTTTTTGAAACATGGCGAACATAACATTTAAAAAAAAATGCTAGTTTCAAAATGACCGCATTTTAGTCCCAAGCTTTGCTGAATGTATTAAACTATGTTTTAATATAATCATTTTCTTTGTTTAGCCATGAAAACATAAGTATCCGTAGAACAAACAATGTTCATGAGCACGAGCATGATTGACCGTCCACGGTTGCTACTCTGTTATTGCCAGATCAGCTGTTTAATCATTTTGTCAAGGTTCTGCATTCATTCTCCATCAGATGTCACTGCTGTTGTTGGCGGTGGCATTTTTCGGAAACTACACATAACAGTGCAGTGCATGTGCATGTCTGGTACCTCTATATATGCATTTAGATTAACATCCGACGTCCCTCCTTCTTTACACATTCTGCACACAAAATAGCTCACCCCTCACAGAATTTCCCGCCGATTTTTATGTATTGGGCGGGGCAGAAAGTAGCTTTTGTGCAGAAGATGTAAAAAAGGAGGGACTTCGAATGTTAATCTAAATACATATATAGAGGTACCAGACATGTTTTGTAGTGTCAGGTACTCTATTTTATAATCTGTGAAAAGGAAGTCACAAATTGAGTGTCATAAAAATACATGGCATGTTGAGAGATTGAGCTCGTGAGAGCTAATTTTGTCTCACAAATTTGAATTTCTTTGGCTCTCTGGGGACTGGTAGTAAAGCAGTTAAAACTGTAAGGGGAAAAATCATTTTTATTTAATTGTAGCTTGTTTAACAATAATTTCCGGGAATAAACAAAACAAAGTCCCTGACTTATTTCTTAAGGTTGTCATTCACTTTATTTGACCTGAATATGCACCGAAAGCGAATTATTTCCTTTTTTTTCAATTTCAATACGGGGATTTTTATCACTTCCTACCAGCGAAACAGCGCCATCTCTGTGGAAAATGGCTGGACGATATGATTAATTAATAAAATATAACAAAATAAAAACAAACTCGATTTTAGTCACTCAATTTCTTTAAACTCTAGCTAGGGGAAATGGATATAATTTCGGCCTAAATGCCCCTAATTTGGGCCCATACATAAATTCAGCAATCAACTAAATTTTCAATAGCGACAAAAAATATCCATTAATACCGTCCCAATGACGCGTTCATCTAGATAAAATTGATAAATAGCATATTTTTAGCGATGGGACCAATCTTAGATCCATAGGCCAACATTAGAGCTATTTCCCCTATATATGAATATTTTAATTGCATGGTATGATCGAACTCAACTTTTCCTATTTAATGAATCCATAATTAATTTAAGTATCCGTAGAACAAACATTGTTCAGTAAAAAAACGAGTATTATTTTTTTAAATGCTTAGATATTTTCGTTGATATTTTGAAATATTTGTTGATATTTTCAAATACATCACAGGGTGTCGACTACCTGAAAAAACCTGAAAAATCAAGAAAAAAATGTTTGGACCGGGAAAATCAGGGAATTTAATTCAAATTCAGGAAAATATTTCTTTATAACAGAAACTTATTAATAAGTATGATTGACTGCGGTAGTTTCAAACAACTTAATTACTCGATGTAGTTTAAAGATGGTTTTTCATTGTAAATATTAAATACAGTTGTGAACTTGTGGTTGTTCAATGCTTGATGTTGCATTTTTGCAAATTGAGCAAAAGTTACACAATTAAAAGGGTATTTTGATGATTTTGCGCCTATTATAAATTAAGCTCCCACTGGGTGTTGTCACATTCCTGCATTGAACTGAGATAAAAATTCATTTCCGTAGACGCTAGACGCTGTTAGTTGTTGCAAAAATTAAGCTGCTAATGGGTGTGTGCGTCTCTTAAATAATAGATATTACCTCAAATTGCGTCTGGCAAAATTTAACATTCGAGTAGATTGGTGCGTCTGCTCGATCCAGCTGTGTCCAACAAAAATCAATCCCTTGAAGCAAATGCATGAATGGTAAAGAGTTAACATGGGCTTAGACAAGAAAAGTCATTGATCAACTCAGTTGAATTCAATTGCCTTGAAGGGTTGAGCCTGGTTCAACTTTTTTAAATTTGATTTAGTTGATTAAGTCAGTTGAATGGCATGGTTTCAACTGAGTTGATCAATTGACTTGCCTTATCTAAACCCAACCCCGCAATCTGATGGTATCATAATTTTCAGCAATGTCAGGAATGCTCACGAACCCCCTACATTTGCCAGAAAACTTACTACTAACTCAAGGTATCTTCCAAATAAGCTTCAAAATTGCATTTTTTTTTATCAAGTGTTAAATTCAGTCCTCTATATCCGTAATACGCGCGCGAGGCTCAAACCTTTGTAGACTACTATTTTTTTACTACTATTAAATCAAATATCAAAAATCCATCATCACCATCGTGGCGAACAAAATAGTTTTTGCAGTGCTACAATAATTATTAAAAAGTCATTATAACAGCTATCCATACAAAATAATCCGTTAAAAATAACTTTGTCGAGATACATAATTTGTCAATTCATAAAAAAAATCACTGGATGACCGTTCAAAAGACAGTTTTAACGTGTGAAATGTCTTTTAAATTCTGCTAATGTTGTTGCACGTTTAATGTGTCTAGGCATCGAATTGAAAACATTTATTCCTTTAAAAACAATGAATTCTGTGAAGCACAAGTCAAGAAATGCGGTGTTTGTCGCCGCCAAAAGCTACTTTCTTCTTCGGTTAGGGACAGTCTTTCGCTTACTAGGTCAGACACTAGGAGCTACTTTTTTCTTCGGTTAAGGAGAGAAATTTTCACTTCTAGGCCGAAAGTTCTTTCGGATTCAAAAAGAGAAGAATCTGGAGTAACCTACGAAACTTAATTTTATTCAACAAAATTGTACAAAGTGATCTTACGGCTACGTGTTGCATTAGCAACTTATAATTATGTAAAACTTTTACATGATTTGCTCAGGGTTCAACATATCCCTTTCAATACCGAACTTTAACCTAATTTGCCTATTCTAATTAGCTAGGATTCCGATTGCCCTTGAAAGGGTAAATTTGTGTTGTTTAGACCTTATATACTATGCCCTCTCAGATCTGGGATTTCTCAGATATCTTGTAAGTTTATTTGTTTTCGTAACTCAGATCTGATATGGCTCTACAAATAAGAATGTGACATTTGTAACGTTTAATCATTATAATTATATCCTTCGTTAAAGATAAACAGAGAGGGAAAGCTAAACTTAACCTAGATGCGCAAGCATGCCATGCGTGGGCGTGTTTATCCCACTTGAACGCAGAAACGTTCCTAAGTAAATACTTCAGTAAGATTATGTAATACGAGCTCTCGCTCCTTTTGCCCTACTTTTCATTTCATATTCTTGGTCTTGGTATCAACGTCAGCTAGGGCTATGCAAACGAGATGCAACTATGTGGTTATCTTATGGTTTTGGTTTTAAATTAATTGCCTCGCGGTAACAGTGTTCTTATTTCATCCGCGTTTCTAGTATTATATCTATGATAGTCACTTCCTCTTTCAATTCGATCACACAAATATCGAGGCAGCAAACCTTTAACAACTTTAAAAATGAACACCACAGTCAAATATACAATTCTTTGCTTCACCGACAACCATTGTAAGGCGTCTAGCATCAAAGTGAATCAATTACATCTCAAAATCAAACGCATTATTTTATTCTGCAAGCGCTGTAATCTCGATATTTGTGTTGCATTGGCCAGAAATAAAATGGAAGGGCAAAAGTCAAGATGAGAAGAGATGATTGATTTGTATAGCTGTATTTTACTAGCAATAGTGTCAGTCGACATAAAATTCCATACTTCTTGGCAATTTTCTCGATGACATTGTCAATGTGAGAGTTGAACTTAAGTGTGTCATCAATA